TATATATATATATATATAGTGTAGGTAATTATTATTAAATCCCCTATATTTGTTAAACACCTCCCCCCCCCCCCCCCCAACACCACAAGCTCGAGCGCTGCGAGTTTGCCGTCGCCGCCCGTTTCAAGCCTTCAGAGCCGGGGGGGGCCAGGGGCCTTTTTGGGGTTTTAGGGTTTAGGGTTTAGGGTTTAGGGTTTAGGAGCAAGGGTAGTAACGTACTTCGCATTTAGGCTTCCGGGTTTAGATTATGGTGGTTCTCAGGCTGTAGGGTGCGTTTGATAATATAAACCCTGCATTACCCATAATGAGGAATATGCCATAATTCCCATAGTTTAGGGTCCTTAGGGTAATGTAGGATTTATACTACCAACAATAGTTAAGGGGTTTAGCGTTTAGCGCCATGTATGGATCCGAAAGTTAGGACTTTGGGCTAGTTAAGGGGTTTAGGGCTCAGGGTTTAAGGCTATGTATGGATCTGAAATTTAGGATTTTGGGCTCGTTAAGGGGTTGAGAGCTATGCATGGATCCGAAATGTAGGGTATTTGGGCTAGATACGGTTTTTGCTGATATTTAAGCTTTGAAGATCTTTGGGATAGTCAGGATTTGAGGATATTTCGGGTTTATGGTTTAGGATCTTCGGATTAGGGTATGGGACTGCTATGCGCTTCTCTGAGGGGGCTTTCTGGGCCTAGGAGTTTAGGATTTTTGGGGATATTGCGACCTTTGTTGGGGGGGTGGTTTAAAGTAGAGGGGGGCGGGGAGGGGGAGTCGTGGGGTGTTTTGGGGTGTTTTGGGGTGGAGGCGTTGAAGTGTAGCGGGTTCTAGAGGTTATGGATTTGGATCCGGGAGTCGTGGGGCCTTCCTTGACTTCAGGCAGTGTGCTTCGGGGTCTTTAAGTAAAGAGATTACGTCTTACGGTCTCCCTGAAGCTTATTGGTGCAATTTGTGTGGCTCATCATCGTTCCAGTATATAGGGACTGCGGGGAATTTTCTTCTATATCACAGTACCCTAAAACCACGGCACATCTCGTTGGGATAGTGGTACATTGCCATCGCCATGCCCATCAGCATGCTGCTAGCTGTGGCCTTGCGCGACCGTTAAGGTTTTTGGGGTTTGGGTCCGGTTGGGTCAAGTGTACGTAGAATAGGGACCTCAATAGTACTGCTCGGCCGAGGGTTTTGGGGCACACCATACTGTAACTATGATGGACATTCAGGATCACTGAGGAATAGTTTTGCTAATACAGGCTTCTACAGTAGGTCTTCGCATTCAGCTGTGAAGGTTTAGGAATCTTGAAGTTTGAGAGAAGGATTCCGAATCAATGGGCTCAGGAATGACGTGTAGGCTTTAGTTTGCCAGTCGTGCACGTCCTTGAGCGCTTCAGCGCTGCATTGAGGGAGGAACAAATTGGACGTGGACAGCTAGGAAAAGACTTCTTTGCTTCACAGAATCCTACCATCATAATACAGACGCCTTCGAGAAAGAACCTTGAAGAATAATCTTGGGAACTCTTCAAGCTGCTATACGATGGCGATCAAAAATGAGGAACACGATTGCCAAGTTAGATGCTTCTCCGCTGTTATTGCCACTACATGGCCCCACAGGCATGTAGACTAATGGCCGTTTATACAAGTGTTGGGGCACTGGGGTTTAGATAATCCTTTCACAGGCTGTTCTATGGCATGTGGGTGCACCGCGCACCATAGAAGCCTTAGTCATCGCATTGCCAGTACTATTCTTAGGGATCAACAGTACAGATATATGCCTATCACCAGCAAACTCCACCATTTTTCTGATAAAGGCTCCCAATACATTTCGAGACGAGTTGCGGAGGCGGCCCAGACTGGCCCGTGGGGCACAACTTTGGACATCCACTGGACGATGGGCCGCAGATAATGGAGGCAGAACCTGTGGGCTTTTATAAGGCTTCTATAAGGAATATGGCTTCTATAACGGTACCTGAAAATGTCCTAGATTCAGGGTGTTGCGGTTTAGGGTCAGGGGCTACGGGTTTAGGGTTAAGGGCTTCGGGTTTGGTTTAGGGAGTTCAGGCGTTGGGGGTTTTGGGTTTTTGGGGTTTAGGGCTTATAGGGTTTAGGGAGCTCAGGGTTCCTCCTGGGGGCTGAGGCCCTAAACCCTAAACCCTAAACCCTAAATTCTGAAGCGGATTCTGGAACCCAGGCCTTGGGTTTATTGCTTTGGGTTTAGAGCTTAGGGTTTAGGGTTTAGGGTTTTAGGGCCCCAAAGCCCAACCGCCACAAGCCTTGGTAGTTCGAATACGGTTTCGGGGCCCGTCATACTATAGTTATAATAAGGAACCCCCAAAATAGTATAGGTAATTATTTAGGCCCCTATATTAAACTCCATAGGCCCTGTAAGCGACCCAGGACGAGAGGGTCAGATATCCGGGCTTCCGGCTCGACGTGACCTGCGGATGTTGAAAGTCGGATCATGTAAAGATCTGATTTAACCTCAAGCCTCATCGCCGCCTTAGACCCTGCAACGCCGTTAGGCCTCATAAATGTTAAATACCCTAAACCGAAATTTCAGTGGGCTACACAGCATGCCTGCGGGTTTTGTAGCAATAGGATCAACTATTGGCTACGCCCGCTTGCAGGATCAGAAAGCGAGCCGTAACGCCGCACGAACACATCCTGAGCCGTCCATCGCCGGCACCAGCGCATACCCGACATTCGCAATCAACGCTCTTCAAGAGTCTTAGAAGAAAGCTGTACAATTCCCACCCGTAGCAAAGTATATCCGATAGACCGACACAGAGCCTTTTCCCTGCTACAGGTCTACATTTGCACACAGTACCCGAACCCAGCGTCTTGAGGTTAAGCACGTGGCACAGCCAGTCTGAATGCACCGGGGGATTGCAGGAAGCTTTCCCAACAAGCCTCATGCAAACTTAGGTTGTCCAGTAAACCCTAAACCCTAAACCCTAAACCCTAAACCCTAAACCGTTCATGTACACCCTGACAGTAGCCTTGAAGTCCCCTTCCACTACAGTACCCTTGCCGTATCCCAGTACACCTTAAACCCTAAACCCTAATCCCTAAAAGCTAATCCCTAATCTTAGGAAGGCTTCCAGTACACCTTAAACCCTAAACCTACAAGCTAATCCCTAATCTTATGAAGGCCTACGACCTCTTTCCTCAAGCATTCTGCGAGCCAGGAGGCACGTAAAATGCTGCATACCACTCGACCCAGCGGATCCAAACCTCCAGGCCGTCCCCGAAAGCCTAATTAATGTATGGGCCTTAATAACTAGAATAGGGTTTAGGGGTATATT